CCAATGTTTGTCCAATTCTAAAATTTTTAATTTAATTTGATAAGTTTTCGTCTAAATATGAGTTTTCCCTTCCAACTACATCTATTTGTTCAAGATGGAATGAAAGTCTGGACGAGTTTATGAAATATTTTAATTAGACTTTCATTTTACTACAACAAATATCGTCTAATTTAGATTGGATTAATCTATTTGTGACCAGAAATCCTTACTTAGAATGTAAGTCCAATTAAAATATTTCATGAACTCATTCAGACTTTCATTCCATTTCTAGCTTGCAGTTCAAATAAGAAGGGATACCCCATTCTTGGAAGGAAAGCTTTCAAGTAAGACGAAAAATTTTAAAATTGGAATGACATTTTTTAAGATGGAATGAAAATTTGAAATTTAGAATGTATTTTTACTCTAGAATTATTATTTAATTCTGGAAAATTTTTCTGTTGAACAAGAGTGTTCATACTCGAATCTCTTAGAAAATTAAACATCGTTGGTGTTCGCATGACGAAAAGCATTCTTAAGCTATAACTTTTTTTTTTTTCCTACCGTAATATACTATTAAGCATATCTCTCCTCGTACACGTAACATGGTGAACATAAAATGTGTGAGAAAATTTTTACTGATTATCAATATTTACCTTACATTCGTGAGAAATCATATATAAAAAAAAAAAAAATTGCGTATCGATGTTCACCTTATATTCGTACATTATCATACATGGCAAAAATGATTCTCAACATCCACATTACCAATTTTTCAACATCACCTCAACATGTGAAGTGAAACCTTAGTAGACTCAAAAGAGTAAAAGCAACTGAGGGTCTAGACATCTATTTAATAACCACGTATTGAGATGTATGAGACAACTTACTGTTCACAATAATATAAGACAATATGAAACGACTGCTTCAAAATTCATAGGCACATGCAATAATGGACGAGAAAAAAAATGCGGTTGATATAGGCGAGGTAATTTACTATATGTCCACTTTCTTTCGAGAAAATGACGTGTAGTTATGAACTTCAAATCTCACGTCATAATCACCCTAAGATACCACGTGGAACTATCAATAGTACTAAGAAAAATAATGTTAGGTTATTCGGTTCAACTTCCTAACTAATATGAAAACCTGGATGAATAATATCTATGTATACAATGCACATATATAAAGTTTTGAAAACAAAGTATATGAGAGGTTCCTATAAGTATATTGATTTTCTAAAATGGACAATTAGTATGACCCACTTCTTTTCCTTATGATGAAGTTGATTAACATTCATGTCAACAAGTAATTTTTTTTTTTTTTTAAATTCATCTTGTGCAGCTTGCCAATAATATACTTCAAAGGATGTTAGACATGCATAAACAAGATTGCCGACCAAATGTTGAAGGGGGTCAGATCCCCCCTGTTTCTTCACGGGTTCAAACCCTGTCCATCCAGCGGTTTGGGGCCCGCCAAACCATGTTCTCGGGACAACTAGTTTTTTTCTTTCAAATAAATAGAGTACAACCTGACACACTTGCCACTAAAATTTTGCACCAACCTGTTGAGGTTTTTTTTTTTTTTAATCGTAGGAAATACGGGGGTCAAAAATATTCGGACACCCCCCCTTACTTTGCCCTTCTGTTTTGAATTTTTTTTCGTATATATTTGTTTATTGATTGATTAATGGATTGGTTGGAGTGGGGTCGCCCTTCACCACGCGCACCCTCGTTCTCAACCAAACAATCAATCAATCAATTGTTGTTGTTTTTTTCGAACTTTTTTAAATGTTGATTGATTTGTCACACACTCACACGTGTGTCTGCGCAGATGCGCATTCGCCACACATATTTTTGTTCAACTTAAATTTTTTCCATTGATTGATTGTGGGGGTGTAGCTCGCCCACCGCGCTCGCACATACACACACCCACATCGACAAAAAAACACACCCACTCAACAACACAACCACAAAGAAACGCACCCACACAAAAACACACGCACACACACAAACACACACACACACACAAGCACACACATATGGCGTAAGAGGTTTTTGCCATTCGGCACGCGTGTGGCTGTTTTTTTTTCCAATTGTTTTCATTTTTCGATGGATCGATTGATTGATCGATTGAAGTAGGGGAGTAGCCCATTCCCCGTGTGAGCATACACACACTTACAAGACGAGAGGGGTTCTTGTCGTTCGGCAAGTAAATTATTCCCCTGCCCAATATTTTCCTTTTAATTAAAAACTATGTAGTGTGAAGAGCCCGCCCTCACAATACATCACCTAAAAAACAAATAAAACATAGTTAAAAAATCAAAATCAAAATAAAAAATAAAAACATTCACGTGCAGATGAAACTTGTGGCTAAGTGGTCCTATATGTTCGGGCGTTCTGGTTCTACCGTTGGCTGAACCTGAACGGCGATTATGATGATTGCATATATATATATATTTCAATAATCAAATATATTATAATTTCGTCAAAGGAATATATTAGTGCTTTCACTATATTCCGTTTTCTAATCGGGAAGTAGTGTTTATATAAATTTATAAGGGCAACCTTCAATTTGAAAGTGACTTTTATGACGAAGGATATTCCTTGAAAGATGCTTGAAAATATGGAGTTAAGAGGTACATTTTATATGTTTACCTTCCTGTTGTATAAATAATATAGGGTTGTTAATTTGAAAAATGAAAGGTGTGCTGATGGTTGCATTCATATGTTTCATCAAATTAGAAACTATATTAAGGTGAACGAGCTTTCGTTTTATCCAACTATTCAAGCAATTCACAAACTGGTGATGCGGTGTTTATACATAGAATCCATGAAATGTGATTCAATAGAGAGGTAATTTCTTAAAGGAGGTCACTACATTCCACTTTAGATGAGTATGAAACAACTTTTCATATTTTTTAAATCGTGTTTTTCAACAGGAAAATTACCACGAGAAATGAAAGTTGAAAAAATATTCTAAAAAAAACAAATCCTTACAATTTATAAATTATCATTCCAATGTTCGTCCAATTCTAAAATTTCCATTTTTATTTGATAAGTTCCCGTCTAAATATGAGTTTTCCCTTCCAACTGCATCTATTTGTTCAAGATGGAATGAAAGTCTGGACGATTTTATGAAATATTTTAATTAAACTTTCATTCTACTACAACAAATATCTTCTAATTTAAATTGGATTGACCTATTTATGACTGAAAATTTTTACTTAGAATGACAATCCAATTAAAATATTTCATGAACTCGTCCAAACTTTCATTCCATCTGTAGCATGCAGTTCAAATAAGAAGGGATACCCCATTCTTGGAATGAAAGTTTTCAAGTAAGAAAAAAAATTTAAAATTGGAATGACATTTTTTAAGATGGAATGAAAATTTTAAATTTATGATGCAATTTTAATATAGAATGATGATTTAATTCTAGGAAATTTTTCTGTTGTTTATGGATTAGGAGTAAGGTTAACTACATAATATATGTTCTCAATTAAGAAAATTTATTGAGTGGGTAAAAAAAAGCAATTGACAGTGAAAAAAATAATATTGCCAAAAAATGCATTGAGGCATACAATGAAACGTTCAATATAATGAAAGGAACAATGATTTTGCAGCAAATACCCTCATAAGTTATAAGGGTATTTTCTCGCGTTTGTCGAAATTGGACATTATGTCCCTAAACGGTCGTTACTTACATAAATATTATTCTCAACAAAAGGCAGTGGCATGACAACCTCCACGAGGCGCACGCACATGATTATTGGCTGCCCATGTGTGCGACGAGCAGTAAAGTTAACAAGGTAAAAATTACAATTTTTTGATACCCTTGACCTGCGTAGCATTCAGTTCGCGTTCGGTCGGCGAACGCGAACGCATATGACTGAACGTGAACGCGTTCAAAAATCGACCGAACGCGAACGTTTTTTTTTTTTTTTTTTATATATATAGGGGTTTGGGGGCATAGGGGGAGTAGAACGGGGAGGAGGGTGTAGATATGGTCAAGGAGGGGGGAAAAGAAGAGAAGGAGGACGTGGATATGGCGGAGGAGGAGGCGGGAGTAAAATGGTAGTAGGAGGAGAGGAGAAAGGAGGAGAAACGAGGAGAAAGGAGGAGAACGGAGGAGAAAGGAGAGAGAAGAAAAACAGGAGGAAGAAGAGGAAAAGGAGCAGGAGGGAGAACAAGACGCCGAGGTGGAGGAGGAGGAGGACGAGTACAAGGCGGAGGAGGAGGAAGAAGAAGTCGAGGAGGACGTAGATATGGCGGAGGAGGAGGAGGAGAGAATAGAGGTGGAGGAGGAAGATGAGAAGAAGGTTGAAGGGGTGGAACAGGACGCAGATATGGCGGGGGRGGRAGAGGAAGAGGAGGGKAAAAGATGAGAAAGGAGGAAGAAGAAGGGGGGGGGGGAACGCACATGATGATGTGGCAACCGCGCGGTCGTCAGAGGAGGAGGAGGAGGAGGAGGAGGAGGAGGAGAAGGAAGAAGAAGAGAAGGAGGACGTGGATATGGCGGAGGAGGAGGGGGGAGAAGAATAGTAGTAGTAGGAGGAGGAGGAGGAAGAGGAGGAGGAAGGAGGAGAAAGGAGGAAGAAGAAAAAGAGGTGGAAGAAGAAGGGAAAAGAAAATAACCGCGCATGCTGACGTGGCAGCCGCGCGTTCGTCTGACGAGGAAGAGGAGGAGGAGAAGATAATGGAGAACGAGGACGAGGACAAGGAGCAAAAGAAGGAGAAAAGGTCGAGGAGGAGGAGGAGGAGGAGGAGGAGGTCAACGAGGTGGAGGCGCTGGAGGGGGAGGAAGAAGATCGAGAGGGTGTAGGTTGTGTAGCTATGGTGGAGGAGGAGGAATAGAAGAGGAGGAGGATGTGGATATGGCGGAGGAGGATGGGGGAGGAGAATAGTACTAGGAGGAGGAGAAAGAGGAGGAGGGAGGAGGAGAAAGGAGGAAGAAGAAGAAGAGGAGGAAGAAGAAGGGCAAAACAAAAAACGCGCATGCTGACGTGACAGCCACGCGTTCGTTAGAGGAGGAAGATGAGGAGGAGAAGAGAATGGAGAAGGAGGACGAGGAGTGGAAAGAAGGAGAAAAGGTCGAGGAGGAGGATAAAGAGGTGGAGGATGAAGAGGAGGAGGCGGAGGAGGAGGAGGCGAGGGTTGACGAGGTGGCGGAGGAGGATGGGGAGGAGAAGCGCGACCTTTTTTTTTTATTTTTTCTGGTTACCTTCTTCCCTCTCCTCGTCCTCTTCTTCCGCCACCTCCGTGTCGTCGACCACCTCCTCGTCCTCCTCCCCCTCCTCCTCGTCCTCTTTACCTCTTCCTCCTATGACGAAAGCACGGTACCACGTCAGCACGCGCGGCTTACAAAAGTCGTGCGTGCTCACGTGGCAGCCGTGCGTTCGTCAGAGGAGGAAGAGGATAAAGAGAATGAGGAGGAGGGGGAGGAGGACGAGGAGGTGGTCGACGCCACGGAGATGGAGGAAGAAGAGGACGAGGAAAGGGAGGAAGGTGGGGAGGAGGACTTCGATATGGTGGAGGAGGAGGAAGAAAACCACGAGGAGGTGGTGAGGGTCGATGAGGTGGAGGAGGAGGAAGAAGAAGCAGAACAAGCCGAAGAAGTTCGCAGAAAAAAGAAAAAAAAGTTCGAAGGAGGAGGAAGAGGACGAGGAAGAGGAGGAGGAAGACGAGGAGAAAGAAGCAGATGACGAGGAGGAGGAGGAGGTGGGGGAGGAGGTCGACGAGGTGGAGGAGGAGGAAGAAGACGAGGAGGAGGAAAAGGTGAAGGAGGTCGACGAGGTGGAGGAGGAAGAAGACGAGGAGGAGAAGGTGGAGGAGGTCGACGAGGTGGAGGAGGAGGAGAAGATGAGGAGGACGAGGTGGAGGCCCTGGAGGGGGAGTAGAACGGGGAGGATATGGCGGGTTACGAGTCAGAGGACGAGGATGAAGAAGAAGAGGAGGAGGAGGAGGAGGAGGAGAAGGAGGAGGAGAAGAAGGAGGGGGAGGAGGAGGACGCGACGTGGTTTCTCACCTGGGAGGTGATGGAGACAACAACGACAGCGACGACGACGACGACGACGACTCCCCGGGCGGGTGACTGGCGGGGTATGCGCGTTCGAATTCGAACGAGCGGGCCCAGGCTGACCCCTCCCGCCACGCAGATGCTCCCAGCGCCCGCCCAACCCCGCCAACCAGCCCCCCAAACCCCACAACGCCCCCTCGCTGCCCTACCGGGCCCGGTACCGCCCGACGACGGATGCGTTCACCGGCCTCTGAAAGCTGTTCGTGCGAACGTGTTCGCGCAGCGATCGGGCGAACGGTCGAACACGTTCGGACGTTCGAAAAACTCCAACGTGTTCGCCGTGCTACGCAGCCCTTGACTATTGAGGTCGAGGAGTTAGTCGTATCGTAGGAAAAAATGCTATGCGTTGCTGCGAACTAGATATTGAGTACTTGAATTTGAATGCAATATGAAATTATTATAGACTTCAGTTGTACGGTCGGTGTCGGAGGATCCGACAGTTTGGCCCTCCAAGGTATGTCAAGCACACCAATGTTTCCCCTGAGTTCTGCATTACTTGCCTTCTCACAATAAAAAAACGAGGTGTGTCACTAGGCCACGATCTGGACCTCCTATTGTACCTCTTGGGCGATCCCAATGATGTATTTCACATCATGACGTTTGACGCATACTTTCGGGTCGCCACCTTTGACAGATAGTTACGCCAAACCAAAATGTAACTTAAGCTATCTTTTGCACGTGGAAAAATTTGGCAGTCTCACATTTTAATATCGATGATACAAATCTTAGCTAGCCCTTGCCCTTGGCAAAAAACCAAAGTTGTGAATAAGTGGTATCCAATCTTCGAGATTATGAAGATAATGACTTATTTTTCATTTTTTAATATGTAAGTTTTTGTCCAAGATTATGCCTTTTATATTCAGCTCTCATCATAAAGGTTTGGTTTAAGGGGAGAGGAAAAATATAGTTTTCAAAAGAAGTAATGCAAAATGACATTGCTGCTATTGGTCAAGATGCTACCCATTGATGTATTATTTTAAGTACTATATATGTTTTAATAAAAAATAAAGAGTTGAAAGGAACGAAAGTCACAATATTGTATGTTTGTTCCCCAACTTCATAAAAGTTAATTTTTCCTCTTACATATGTATACAGTATGAGGATACTCATGTAGCATATAAAACGTTTTTCTACACAGTTTTTCCAAACATATCTCCATGGGTTTATGCTCCTTTGTTTTCAACGTATTTCCACACAGTTCTTCCAAACATCGTACATGCGTTGAATGAGCCTTTTTTTTATTATTATTCATTGATTGATTAATCGAATAGAGCAGCAAAGGAGCTCCTCCCCATTCCCCTCCACACACACAGACACACATGCAGGTGAACGCATGTTCGATGTGTTATTTTTTAACTTTTTTTTTTAATTGATTGATTGATTGAATGCGGAAAAAGGGGTCAACCCCCCCCTTCTCCATCCCCCCCCCCGCCCCTCCCCCCCTCACACGCATATAGGGGTTCGTATCCCTATTAATGCTTACTATTGATAAAAAGTCAAATTCCTCTGAATCTGGAAGGGATAGATGGGGTTATGACTAGGTTGTTTTACCGAACGTCCGGGACCCCCCTCACCGTCCAGGATGTCCGATCGGACGTCTGGTTGGACGTCGGATCGGACATGGGTTGTATGACCTAGCGCAAAAAAAAAAAAAAAAAAAAAAAAAAAAAAAAATCATGTGGCTTCTACCTTGCATAAGGTGTATGCCACCAAAATTTTGGCTCATTTAAGATAATAAAAAAAAAAGATAAAAATCTTCAAAGTTTCTAATTCCCACCTATACCCCTCCTATCCCCACCAAAACCCCTCGTACCCCCCCCTCCCACCCCAAATAGTACCCTATCACCAAATGCTCAGAAAATTCTGAAGTTTTTTATGAGGGATCTTTATGGCATGCGCAACACTTTCATTTTTTTTTTTTTTTTTTAAATGTCAAAAAGTGGTTGTCCGAGATCCTGGACAACCCCCCTACCGGACGGTTGGGGGAGACGTCCGGCCGAGACGTCCGGCCATTGGACGACTGGTAACCTAGGGTTATGGCCTTTGTTTTAACAAACAAAAAAAATATGTTTCGCGCAGCACTCAAGGTTAAGACTAGCACAACCCCAAATAATATTAATAAATGAGGGTTCATACTCGAAGATCGCTCAACCAGTATTTCCAGGGCTAATCCCGGTTGGTGCCATTATAGTTGAAGGGATGGGGAAATAAACCAGATTTGTCTACGTGGTCCCTCACTATCCGATGAACCTACCCGCGATCTTAAGGATAGGGTAAACAAACAGACATTAGCGCTACTAGCAGGAGGGTGCACCAGACTAATCCTCCTCGACCGGCTGGGTAGATGCGCCTTCGCATGCGATACTATTTTCACGTTATTCTGCATGTGGAGCCATATCCGCTGGTCGTTGCCAGAGTTCTGTCGATGCTCAAGTCACACTGATATGCCGACTCGGATTCAGCTGGTTCCTCCGCTCTTTGTCACTGCTACCATTGCTTTTGAGATCCCAACTATGCATATAACTTTCTTATTGACATTATCTTTCACCTCCTCGGCTACTGCAGCCATGTCGTTATCTCTGATTCCCTTGGAGTGAGTGTTGCATATGCTCCGGACTTGCTATTTCAATTGGCTCACGAAGGATTTTCGGATTCCCTTATGGATTCTGCATTCTCATTTGACGAGATGTTGGATGTTCACCGTGCAGAAGATAGGGCAATTGAGCCCTTACTGGAGGTAATGTGTTTTGCAACCAGAATCCTTTCTTCAATCATCCGTCCATTTGGCTTCTTCCATAATATTGGATTGATATCTAGAGATTGGTTCTCGAAGCAACGTTATTCTGAACGTTATAACTTGTGCTCTCCTAGTATGGATACCCTGTGATGAGCTAGTTTGTGACATAACTTGCGAAAATAGGTTTAAGGATGCTTGCCGCCACCCTAGAGCGATACAATGTTATGAACTCTTGCATACCCTTTGTGTGGTACAATGGTGAGAGCATTCGTGAATTGAGAACCAATATTAGTTGATAGGAAGACTAAGTCTAGGAGTTTGTAGATCATGCTCGTTTTTCTATATACGATGTGGATGTATTTTGACTGGTGTGGTAGCATGTTTTTTTGTTTCCCTCGCCTATGTCCTCCTAGGCTTGTATCTCTTGGGTATTTGTATGCATGTTCCGATTGATGACTGAGGCAATGTTTGAAGTGTAACGGTGATCGACTAGATGAAGTCGATTTTCAAGGACTTGCATGCACATGTTCTGGAGAATACGTAGTTTGATTGACTCTCCTTTTTTGTGAGTAGGTGGTTTAGGGTGTGTGATTATTCAGGTATAAGATGATCACTGCCGAGTGAGGGTTAAGGTCGTGAATATGAAGTAGTTTGAGGGAGAGAGATGAGATCGATGGATTGTTCGGGCAGACCAAGGGGGTTGAGTAAGGATCATTGGTGACGATAATTTGGATCTGGTGGACCATTAAAGTATGGTGAGACGTGAACAACTATGATGGAGGGGGTGAGGTGAAGGAAGGTCCAGCGTGTAGATATTTATTATTTTGAAGCTTCGGTGAGGAGCAGTCTCCCACAAGGTTGGTAGCACAACAAAAGGATGAGTGCATGAACACTGACGCCTGTGTATTTAGTTTTTTTTCGTTCTTCTTAATTTTTTTTTTTCTTTTTTTTTTTTATCGTTTATGTGATGGATGACGAGACTAATATGTGTCAATAAAATAGCATGGGCTATCGGCGGTATTAGTACTATAGTATGAGAGTGATTGTTATGTATTGGTAGTCGTAGTAAGGCAAGTTTTGCATATCCGTAAATCCATGTGCAAGGCAAGATAGTGCATGAGGGATTTTTTTTAATGAGAAGTGTATATGGTATTTATGAACTTGCTCATTAGTTCATTGACTCGTTCGTTTTTTTTGTCGTCGACTTATCGTTCTTTCTCTTCTCAATCCTTTCTTCCGTCTGACCGATGTATTACTTTCCTGCTCGATTTCGTTGTCTTAGAGCAGTATAAATGAAAAAATTGCTATTTTTTGTGATGTGTCGTAGCAGTAGTTCTATATTGATTCATGAAATGATCTTTGCTGGTGTCGGGTTTATGTTTGTGACGGTCCTGTAAATTTTATCATTTTATGATTTTTATTTATTACTTGATGAAGTATGCCTTCTGTTTTCAACATGAATGAGAAATTTGTATGGATAGGTGAATGATGTGCAGACTGTATACTCGGAATGGAATGTGGTTATCCTATGGAAACGAATGATGGGTTTGGAGTTCCCAAGGGAATGTATCCCGTGTGGCGACCACGGATTGGATCACGTAGGAGTTACGTGTTGAAGTGTCCGCAATATGTGTCCACACACAACAACACAGAAACACACACACATGTACGGTGGGACACATATACAAAAGTGTTCCTGTCGTTTGGCAGGCAAACTGCCTCCCCGCCTGCTCCTTTGTTTAAAAAAAAAAAAAAAAAAACAGTGAAAATTTTGATCTTCACAATAACACAAAAAAAAACTAAAAAAAAAAAAAAAACACGTTCGGCCCGAACGTGGGTGGGGGTGGCCCCGAACGTTCAGGTGTTCGGCCCCAATCGAACACGGGTCACCCTGTTTGTCGCTATATCTCGCTTAGTCGTTTTCGTATTTTGAAGTTGGGGTAACTACGTGGTGGTCACTGAAACAGTTTGTAAATGCATCCGTCACATCGTTTTTTGCACTTCATTCGCGCCGTGAGTTCCAAATGCAGTTGAAACATGACCTAGCAGAATGAATGCAAAAACGAGTCTCTGACTTGCAGTCCAGATACCCACCGTACAAGCACGCACACGGGTATCAGCCCAACCACATGGGGTTCAAGGGTCGTCACTTGAACGGGAGTTGCTAGACCACGATGTTTCGAATCCGGAATGCAACGTCATGCGAGT